AGTACTCTGAGTCAGTGTGAGTTTGAGTCAGTACTCTGAGTCAGTGTGAGTTTGAGTCAGTACTCTGAGTCAGTGTGAGTTTGAGTCAGTACTCTGAGTCAGTGTACTCTGAGTCAGTACTCTGAGTCAGTACTCTGAGTCAGTACTCTGAGTCAGTACTCTGAGTCAGTACTCTGAGTCAGTACTCTGAGTCAGTACTCTGAGTCAGTGTGAGTTTGGGACTCTGTCAGTGGTGAGTGACAAACCTGTAAAGAACCAGCAGTGACTCACTGGGAATCACAAGTCCCTGTGATGTGAAGGACAGGTCAGGGTCAGGAGGAGGTTTTTATTAAAGCTTCATTTAGAAGTTCTCTGAAGGAACCATGTGTTACAGTCCAGGGAACAGCTTTATGGAACAGTCTAGATATTAATATTTGTTTTGATATTTGTTTTTGTTTGTTTTCTGTAAATTTGGGGATCATTTAAGGTTCAGTTTYTTGTAAGTTTGAAGTTATTCTTTTTTTAAATAGGGACACATTTGTTTCTTCACTCTGAACCCCTTTAATCCAGAAATTTTCCATATTCTTTGATGTTTGTGGATATATTTTGTGTTTTTAGAGTAAAATATATAAATAAGTAAATGTATTGTATTATGATTCTAAATTGACCTGTTTCTCACCTGTCTCACAGTGTGGTCCAGCTGGATTTAGGCCACGCCCCCGAACCTCACCATGTCCTGTCTCGTCACTCCCTTCCCATCACYGACCTGCACTGTGGTCGAATGGGAGCTCAGGCCAGAATTGCAACTGCTTCATTGGACCAAACTGTCAAGGTGAGCCTGTTCACCTGCACAGGTGGAGGGGCTCAGGGAGGGCACAAGTGGAGTCGTGTGGTCTCACACCGTATTGATGCTAAAGTTACTCAGTGAATACTTTTAGTTTGAACAAGTCGCTTTGTTRCAAAAATAAAAAGCTGCACCAAATTATGTTTGATTGTTGGCTGGACTGAGTCCCCCACCAGACCTGTGGCATCATGTACCTACGGTGCGCACGCACAAAAACCTTGTGTACGCACAAAATCCTTGTGTACGCACAAAATCCTTGTGTACGCACAAAATCCTTGTGTACGCACAAAAACCTTGTGTACACCAATTTCTACACAAAACTCTGGATGTATGAAAACTGAAATGAAGGTGGAAATGTGCGCAGCCTCAACTCCAGGGCTGGTGTCCCAGGTTTCTATGGTTCTGGTTCTGTTGGTGACCAGTGCTGGATGCTGGTCTCAACAACAGGAAGCTCAGTTTTGTCCTACATAATAAAATGTGTGGGTGATAAATTCTACCCTCCGTTCCTTTTCAAGAAAATGATCTGTGATCTGTTACAGATATTTGTTTTAGTTTATAGTATTTATTCATTTCATTTTAAAAAACAAAACATTACAAACAACAAAACAATACAAATACAATAAAATGAAAGGCAGCAGCAGAAGAAAAAGATCTTATGAAATCTGCTCCTATTTACAAATTATTAATTTCAAACAATAAATCAAATAATAAAACAAAAAAATCAACTCCTCAAACAGTGACTCACAAATACAAATTAAACAATTTCATACTTCTTTGACAATTTTTCTTTCATGGTTTTTTAAAGGAATTAATTGATCCAATGCTTTTATAAGCATTTTCCAGGTTATTCTATAGTGTTTTACAGCAGCC